GCAGATGGAAGACCTTTCTCTCTCTGCCTTTCTTTGTCTCTCTGTGTTAACATTGACTTCCATATAAATAAATAAATCTTTCAAAAAAAATCATGAGTATAGAAATAAAATCCATGCTTTTCAGAGAAAAACATTTTATTCTTTTTGAAAAGATTTTATTTATTTATTTGAAAGTCACAGAGTTCAGAGAGAGACAGAGAAGAGAGATAGAGCATGATATTCCATCTGCTAGTTCGCTCCCTAAATGGCTGCAACAGCTGGAGCTGGGTCATGCCAAAGCCAGGAGCCTGGAGTTCCATCGGGATCTCCCATGTGAGTGGCAGGGGTCCAAGCACTGGGCCATCTTCTGCTGCTTTCCCAAGTGCATTAGCAGGGAACTGGATAGGAAGTGTCGCAGCCGGGACTCAAACTGGTGCCCATAAGAGATGCTAGCACTGCAGACAGCAGCTTAACCTTCTCTGCCATAGCGCAGGCTCCAACATTTTAATTCTTTAGCGTGGCATACAAGATCATTCACAGTCTAACCACAGGCTACCTTTTCCTCCCGTGTCTATCTCCAGCAACAATTCCCAGTGACTGATGGTGTTTTCTCTGACTGTAACGTTTATGTCTTTCTACTCTTCACCTCAACTCTATCAGGATGACAAATGCCCATTTATTTTTCAGGGGGCACAAATGTCACAATTGCTTTGTGGTGTTCCTCGGATCACCAGGAATTAGTGCACTCTTATAATACTCAGATTATATCTGTTTTAAGTCACCTATATTGTAATTTATTTTTACTAATCTATCATCTGTGTAAGCATAGACATTCTTCAAGGGCAGAGACTTTGGTTTGCCCACCTTATTCCTGAAATGTGGGAAATGGTAGTAGTTCAGTACCTCCGGAACTGAACGGTATGAAGTTTCTTTTAGAACAGAGGAAGACTCAGAGTCCTAATAGGCTGCCTCGTCCTCTGAAGAATAAAAAAAGGGGTCCAAAACCTTGACCATTATATGAAAAAAGTAACAAAAAAAAGTTCAGAAAAATACTGAGGTTAACAACTAATACTATTAAACTGCAATTGTTCAGTGAAAATCACGATAATAATTAATCTATGTGGTAGGGATTCTGTGTAAATTACCTCAAATTTCCTGCTTCTATTTTAAACAGTGACGATGAACGAATCCTCATAAAGAATAGCTACAAGCTAATTACAGTAATTCAGTTTCTCAGCAGCAGGGGCTTTCCAGGAGCGCTGGGAAAACAGCAGTCCTTCAGAACTTGAAAGAAAACGTGAGAAACAAGGAGAGCTGGAGGTTGTGCTGAAAGGGCAGAGGAAGAAGGAACATTAACTTTTCATAAAGAACAAGATGACAATTAAGGGAGGAAACCAAAGTCCTGATTCTCCGGCCATTCTAAAATTCTACTGTGCTGGAGGCATCTGCTGTAATAAACATGTTCACACCTTCTCCAGGCCAAATCTGGATTCAGCCAGTACAAATATCTGTCTTCACTCTCAAATATTTTTCTGCTAACTTACTTTCAAGACTAATATCAGATTATATAGCAGAAAAAGACCCTTATCACTCTCCCACCTCCACATTTTTTTTTTTTTTTTGCCAAAAAATGTAGTCCTTTGAGACCTGCTGTAGCAATGTATCTAGATAACAAAGTCTGAGAAAAATAAAATTCTTTTCTTGTTTTGAAGACTTTCAGGAATCTCTCTTAGAGGCCAGTGCTGTGGAGTAATAGTAAAGCTGTTGCCTGCTAGTGTCAGCATCCTATATGGGTCCTGGCTGCTCCACTTCCAATCCAGCTCTCTGCTATGGCCTGGGAAAGCAGTAGAAGTTGGCCCAAGTCCTTTGGCCCCTGCACCCACTGGAAGACCTGGAAGAAACTCCTGGTTCCTGGCTTCAGATCCTCCTAGCTCTGGCCATTGTGGCCATTTGGGGAATGAACCAGCAGATATAAGATCTCTCTCTCTCTCTCTCTCTCTGCCTCTTTCTAACTCGGCCCTCCAAATATATAAATCTTAAAAAAAAAAAAGAATCTTATCATTTACCAATTAAAAATGATGATTGGTAGAAAAAATATATATTTTATACTGTTGTAAGATTCTTCTTATGGCAGCATCTTAATCCTGAGAGCAGGTGTACTTGGATCCCATCAGATAGAATCACTTACAAACTGTCTTATCTGTAGTAGGTCAAATAGGTCTATATTCATGCCTCAGAGGAAAAGCAGGTATTCAAGTAACTTCTAAATTACCAGAGGAAAAAAAAAGTATATTTGTTCTTCAGGACAACTTAACATTCCTATCTCCTCCTCCCTTTTAGCACAATCATCAGAAAAATACAAACACATATTTAGTGTCATTTTGAATATTTACTGTTTTTATTAGAAATATGTAGAAATTGAAGACATAAATAATAACATGTGACAATTATTTAAAAATAACATCCAGTTAGTTGGTATTTCTAGAACTCGCCCCTTTGAGGACACTTTGCTGAGGGGCACAGCTTTTAATGTGTCACTTGGAATGCTTGCATTAGTTTCTGGCTTCGAGTCCTGACTTTGCTTCCAATTCCAGCTTCCTACTGGAAGTGCACCCTGGAAAGTGGCAGATAATAGTTCAATTAGCTGGGTTGCTGCCACCTATGTGGGGACCTGGATTGAGATAGGGCTCCTGGCTTCAGCGTGGCCCAGCTCCAGCTGTTGTAGGCATTTGGAGAGTGAAGCAGTTTGTCTCTCTTTTTTAAATAAAATTAAAAAAATTAAAAGAAAAAAATCTCAGGTGTTTTGTCTGTTTGTTTTTAAGTATCCTTGCTGGATATACAAGTGTAAGTGGCTGGGTAAGTGAGGGAGTAGAGTAATGTCAATTCAATAAAAAGAATAACCAAAAATTCCTAGAGATTTGTTGTATAAATTGGGGCTCACTTGGAGAACCCTGTTAGAGCTAAATAAAATGAACTTTGCAATCAGGGAGAACTGAGTTTGAAACTTGGCTCTATCATTTACTAGCTAAGGTGTACAGATTATAAATCACCTTAAAATGGTTATAACTTCTCATTGAGTTGGATCAGGTACTGAAGGTCTTGTGCAAAGCATCTTGAGCACAGTGAGAAATCAACAACTATTAGCTTTTATTATTATTCCTATCACTTTACTCTGGATCTCTGTTTTTCACCATGTTCAACAGAACATGTACTTAGACTTGTACAAGAAAAATCATACTTATACCTAATAAATAAATACAGGTGGTAGATTTTAATTTTTAACATTCTTGGGGCAGGCTTTGGGGGAAGAATTAATGCTGGGGACTAGCTGTGGCAGGAAGGTTACTGTTGAGGAGATAGCTCAGGAAATTCCATGGTTCTCTGCACTTTAATGTTCACTCTCTGCTTCACTAGGGAAGTCAGGTTTATAAAGTGACTTTTTTTCAGAGAGTGTTCAACAATTTTTTCCTATTACACCCCTCTGAATCTACTTGCTCTGGGCTTTTATATTCTGAAATAGAAATAATACTAAGGTCTAAAAAATGTTATTTACAGCTGGATAAGCTAGTGGATGTTCAGTTAGAATGGTATGTTGAAGTTAAAATTTAGCAATAAAGATATCAAAGTACTATGAAATCATGTAGACACAAACATAAGATCTGTATTTCTTGTATTTCTTCAAGCTAAGAAGTCATGCATTGCTCCTGTGGCATGTAACTATTAGTGGTGTGTGGGACACTCAGAGGTGCTTTTTCATCTATGAGCATCCCAGCTGGTGGTTTCCTATGAAGTTTCACCAGCACCCTAAAAGCTTCAGTTGCATCCTAGCAGATGGTTTCCCAGAAAGAACTGCCGGCACTCGAGCAGGCATTAAACCTGTGCCAGGTCTGTGGCACCTTTGTGAACTCCTACACCATCGGTGGCCAAAGCAGGATCTTTCCAACAAGTACTGAATCAGCTTAGACCTTGGGAGGGCCCCTCAGCCAAGCATGTTCCTTTCTTGAGTACTCTGAGCCCTGGAGGTAGTAGTTACTCCTTATGTATTAAATCCCGGTATTCTTTAGGATTCTCTTTACCTCTCAGTAGTTAATTTCTTGCTGCTACTTAATAACTCATTATATTAAAATTTCCCTGACCAATTTATTGGTGTGGTTTCTGGTTCCTGACTGGACTTTCATTCACCCCAAGTCAACAACAAATAATTAAATCTATAAATCCACCCATAAAATATGTATCAAGTTCCGTAATACAGAGAAACAGCACAGCATTTAGTCCTACTTATTCATGCACTTCCCATTAAAGCTGGCTATGCATGTGGCTTACCAGTGAGTCAGCCTGCTGCCACACATTTATTGTTTGCTATTGCACATTTCAGAGACGGATTAAGGGAACTATTCAGAGTATGGTGTCTAATTCATTACAAGTTCTTCATAGCAAATAAGAGAATAAACAAATTTGCTGGATTTGTTTGTCTTAGAACTAACCCATTGATGATGAAGTATACTAGGAGAGTTATAAAAATGACAGATTTTTAAAAATTACTGAACATGGCAGAAAATTCTAATATGGTTACTAGAAATTGCCAATAAAGTTAAAAATCTCTAATTTATGCTTCCATTGCCATCATTCATTCATTCATTTGTTCACTCAATAAATATTTACTTAGTGAAACTGACACATAGCCACCAAAGAAAACAGACAATATCCTAGCCTCATGGAATTTACTTTTTGTGGAAGGGGAAAAAAACAAACATGTAAACAATTTAATACATAATTTCAGATGTTATAAAGTGCTATTAAGAAAAAGTAGGGATTGAAGGAATCCTTGCTTAGAAAACAATGTAGCGTTCTACATTAGATTTCATATACATGGCATGTAGTAAGTGTTATAATGAACAGAACCACAGATAACTTAGGTATACTATGAGGACAGCATTTAAGTAGTACCATGATAAAGCAAAGTGAACAAAGTTTTATAAATCAACTCACGACAAGCTTAGATATAGATCAATGAAACTTACCCTATAGAAAGCACTGGTCAAAGGGAGTAATGCTGCAGCAATGTTATATTCTTCTAAACTTGAACAATCCTTAAACAAAACAAAGACAAATGAGCATTATTAGGATAGTTACCAGAAATGATGAATATAAGGAAATCAAAGTATAGGATACATTGTCCACTGTCCACTGGGTTTTTTACTTTTATTCCAAATTATCACTAAGGCATAGTTAGGAAAATCTGGAAAAGAAAAAATGCTGTCCTTGAATCATATTTTCTAAGAGATAAGTTAAAAATACATTTGATAAGAATACCATTTACACATACCATTGGTGAGCTGCTTCTACTTTTCTGCTTTATTTTAAGATTTATTTTATTTATTTGAAAGACAGAATTACAGTGAGAGGTAGAGGTCTTCCATCTGCTGGTTCACTCCCCAGATGACCGCAACAGCCAGAGCTGTTTATTTATTTATTTATTATTTATTTATTTATTTATTTATTTATTTTAAGATTTTATTTATTTGAAAGACAGAGTTACAGAGAGAGAGGTAGAGAGAGAGAGAGAGAGCGAGAGAGAGAGAGAGAGAGCACTTTTCTGCTTTAAAAATAATACTTAAGGGGCCAGCGCTGTGGCACAGCAGGTTAACGCCCTGACTTGAAGCACCAGTATCCCATATGGGTGCGGGTTAGAGACCCAGCTGCTCCACTTCCAATCAAACAACAACAACAAACAAACAAACAAACAACCCATTTAAGACTGTTAATTCATGTAAAAATTCTTCTGGGGAGTTTTAGCATATTTATACCATATTTCATTGAGTCTATTATACTTTTTTTATTCCACATTTTTTACATTTCTGGGATAGAGATTCGTCTTATAACTGATTGGAAGTATTTTTTTCTTTCTTAATGTTAGCTTGAAAAGAGTACTCAGCTATTAATCAGACAATCAATACAGCTGATGTTAAAACTCAGAATGAAATGCTGTTGGGGAATAGGATAGACAGAAGGTCTCAGTATTATAAACCTACATAGAGAACATAATTCAGAATGACAAAATAAAGACAGAAAAATACAACTAGAATACTAATAAACAATATCAAACAAGAATGACATAGTATTCATATAAAATGCCAATAAACTAAGTTAATTTCAGAAAAAGGAGAAAATCTCAGTGGGAATGTAAAATGGCACAGTTGCTGTGGAAAACATATGGCACTTTCTCAAAAAAACAAAACCGCACAATTGTATCAAATTAAAAACCAAAAAAAATATATATATGTATATATATGTACACATATATATACGTATATATATACATATATATATAAATATATATATATATATTTTTTTTTGCCAGGCAGAGTTAGACAGTGAGATAGAGAGAGACACAGAGAGAAAGTTGTAGACAGTGAGAGAGAGACAGAGAGAAAGGTCTTCCTTCCATTGGTTCACTCCCCTAATGGCCACTACAGCCGGTGCTACGCCAATCTGAAGCCAGGAACCGGGTACTTCCTCCCGGTCTCCCATGTGGGTGCAGGGCCCAAGCACTTGGGCCATCCTCCACTGTACTCCTGGGCCACAGCAGAGAGCTGGACTGGAAGAGGAGCACCTGGGACTAGAACCTGGCACCCCAACTGGGATTAGAACCTGGGGTGCCGGTGCTGCAGGCGGAGGATTAGCCAATTGAGCCACGGCACCGGCCAAAAGCCATAATATATAGAAAATTTGAATGACAATGCGCACCAACAATTCTATTTCTGATATATATCCAAACAAGCTGAAAAGAAACAGAAATTTGTAAATTCAAGTTCATAGATTCATTATTCACAATAGCCAAAAAGTAGAAACAACTCAATTAAGTATATGCCATACCAAAATATGCTGAACTAGTAGATGGATTATTTCTTTTTCTTTTTTTAAAGATTTTATTTATTTGAGAGGTAGAGTTATAGACAGTGAGAGGGAGAGACAGAGAGAAAGGTCTTCCCTCTGTTGGTTTACTCCCTAGACGTCCACAATGGCCAGAACTGTGCTGATCCAAAGCCACTAGCCAAGTGCTTCTTCCCGATCTCCCACGCAGGTGCAGGGGCCAAACACTTGGGCCATCTTCTACTGCCTTCCCAGGCCACAGCAGAGAGCTGGACTGGAAGAGGGGCTGCCGAGATTAGAAGTGGCACCCATATGGGATGCCAGCACCTGCAGGCAGAGGATTAACCTACTGCACCAGCAGTGCTGCCATTGAAGATGGATTATTTCAAGCTGAAGTCACTTGAGAAATTGTAACCTCAGGAACAGCCTTCGGCCTGTCTTTTCCTACATGCATCAAGCCATAAAGATTCTTTTAGAAGGGACAACCTTCACATACTAAGATTAGAAAACAGCTTTGATCATCAGAGGTTGGTAATTGGGGTTGCAATGAACCTGAATAAACAGACTCTGTGAAGTAATCTTTACCTTCCACAAGCTTTTACACTCCCACATAAACCTTAATAACATCCTTAGAATTTATGATCCTAGGCCAGAAATCTATTTGTCCTGTCATTCCTTCACAAATTTTTTCTGTCTAAAAAGTATAAAAATATGTTGCTCTGGTCACTTCTTTGGACTTCATTCTTGTGAAGATTCCTATGCACACGTAAATGTAACAGAACTTCCGAGCTTTTCTCTTATAAAACAGCTCTTGTATTAACTGGGTTCCTAGATCCAGGCAAAGAGCCTATTTAAGGAACTAAGAACTGATCATTGATACAAGGGATCCCACTCTCCTCTACACAACCCGAATGATATCAAAAGGCAAATAAACAAAATGTTGTATGTGTGTGCCGTGTCTATATACATATAATGGAATATAAACCCATCTTAACAAGAAAGGTAATTGGAAAACAAACAACCTACTTAAGAGATGGGCCAAGGATTTAAACAGACATTCTTCAAAAGATGAAATCCAAATGGCCAATAGACACATGAAAAAATGTTCAGGATCACTAGCCATCAGGGAAATGCAAATCAAAACCACAATGAGGTTTCACTTCATCCTGGTAAGAATGGCTTTCATACAGAAATCAACAAACAACAGATGCTGGCAAGGATGCTGGGAAAAAGGTACTCTAATCCACTGCTGGTGGGAATGCAAACTGGTAAAGCCACTATGGAAGACAGTTTGGAGATGCCTCAGAAATCTGAATATAACCCTATCACACGATCCAGCCATCCCACTCCTTGGAATTTACCCAAGGGAAATTTAATTGGCAAATAAAAGAGCTATCTGCTTTTTTATTTTCTTTTATTATCATGCACCTCCATGTTTATTGTAGCTCAATTCACAATAGCTAAGACATGGAATCTACCTAAATGCCCGTCAACGGAAGACTGGGTAAAGAAATTATGGGATAGGTACTCTATGGAATACTACAAAGTGGTAAAGAAAAATGAATCTGGTCACTTGCAACAAAATGGAGGAATCTGGAAAACATCATAATGAGTGAATTAAGCCAATCCTAAAGGACAAATATCATAGGTGCTCCTTGCTCTGTGACAACTAACTGAGCACCTAAAAGGAAACCTGTAGAGGTGAAACTCACACTATGAGAAGCAATGACTTTATCAGCCCTTGTCCTGACTGTCAAGGAACAGCTTACTATTTTATTCTTTTTAGTATTTTCTTTTTCTACTTAATACCATTGCTTGAACTCTTTACTTAACACAGAATTATTCTTAGGTGTTTAAATCCAATTGAAAATTGATCCCTGTTAAAAATAAGATTGGGAATAAGAGAGGGAGGAGATGTACAGTTTGGTACACATTCCCTCAGACTTACTGCTAAAGGTAAAGCTAAAAACTTGCCATGGGACTCCAAATCCCATTAAGTTGGCAGGTACCAATGCCATTTTACTAATTAAAGTGATCAGTTTAAGTTAATAACTGATCATAAAGATAGGATTAAGTGTCAAAGGGATCACATAGATAAGACCAAGTGTCTGCTAATAATAACAGAATTAAAAAGGAGAGAATGGTCCAGTGTGGGAAGTGGGATACCCAGCAGACTCATAGAATGGCAAATGCCCTAAACAGTACTCTGGCCTCAGAATCAGCCCTTAAGGCATTCAGATCTGGCTGAAAAGCCCATGAGAGCATTTCAAGCATGGAAAGCCAAGACACTGTAGCAAAAAAATGACCTAAATGAAAGATCTGTGTGAGTGAGATCCCAATGGAAAGAAGAGGCCATCAAAGAAGGAGGTACCTTTCTCTGAAGCGAAGAGAGAACTTCCACTTTGATTATGGCCCTGTCTAAATAATGTCGGAGTTTGTGGACTCAAGAGGCTTCCATAGCCTTGGCAGCTCATAACAAGAGCCTTGGGTGATCACTGACGTCATAAACAAGAGTGTCGATTGTTAAATCAACAACAGGAGTCACTGTGCACTTGTTCCCCATGTAGGAGCTCTGTCCTTAATGAATTGTACTGTGAGAATTATCGGTAAAACTAGTCATCAAACAGTACTTTATACTTTGTGTGTCTGTGTGGGTGCAAATTGTTGAAATCTTTACTTAGTATAGAGTTGATCTTCTGTATATAAAGATAATTAAAAATGAATCTTAATGAAAAATGGGATGGGAGAGGGAGTAGCAGGTGGGATGGTTTGAGGGTAGAGGGGTTTGGGGGGGAAGAATCACTATAATTCAAAAGCTGTACCTATAAAATTTATATTTATTAAATAAAAGCTTTCTAAAAAATGTACATTTAAAAAGGCTGGAAAAAAAAAAAAAAGAAATGTAATTGGGGCCAGTGCTGTGGCACAGTTGGTTGAAGCCCTGGCTTACAGCACCAGCATCTCATACAGGCCCTGTTTTGAGTCCCAGCTGCTCCTCTTCCAACCCAGCTCCATTCTTTTTTTTTTTTTTTTTTAAAGATTTATTTATTTGTTTGAAAGACAGAGTTAGAGAAAGGCAGAGCAGAGGCAGAGAGAGGGGTCTTCCATCCACTGGTTCACTCCCCAATGGCTCCAACAGCCAAGAAGTTCACTGATCTGAAGCCAGGAGCTTCTTCTGGGTCTCCTACACAGGTGCAGGGGTCCAAGCACTTGGGCC